ACAGTAGAGAAATGTAGTAAGATCAGTTCACTAGTACAACAAGATAATTTCTATTGCTAAGGTCAAGTGAACAGACACTGATCGGTCATCACAATACCATAGTAACAAAGCTGTAGATGAATAATGATCATCGCTCACTTTATTACCTTGCCAACAGCTTTTCAGGTTTTTCAAATTTACGGTTTCAGTAAACGATTCCGTACAGAAAACAACGTCATATAATAAACACTAATTTGTCAGACAAAAGTATATGCAAAGATGTGTACGATCATTTCACGGGTTTTGTGTAACCTGTGGAGTATGATGGAAACCCATAGTTTGGAAGCAGTCGAAAGTAAATATACGGCTTGATAGTTTTCGTATATATTACGTAAGGCACTTTTAAAGATGAGAATAACAGTCGCTCCAATCCAAGATGGAACGATCTTTGTTTTCCAAATTCTCCCAAACAAACCGATCATTTCAATCTCTTTTCACTTAGCGACGGTAGGCGATTGTACTGAGATCAGTTCACTAGTACAACAAGATAATTTGTATTGCTAAGGTCAAGTGAACATACACTGATCATTCATCACAATTCCATAGTAATGAAGATGTAAAATCACTTTTTCTAGATTAATAATAATAAAGTGATCATCGGTCACTTTATAATTTTGTCAACAGCTTTTCAGGTTTTTCAAATTTAAGGTTTCAGTAAACGATTCCGTACAGAAAACGACGTCATATAATGAAGACTTACATGTCTAACAAGTCATTAATAATAATAATAGTAATAATAATAATAATGGAACATACGAAATGTAATAATAATGTTTCATATGAGATTTATCACTACATTGCAAAAATTCGATACAGTGATAAATATCATTTAGACATTTGATAAATGAATGTACAGTTTAACTTAACAGATTGAAATACGATATTCTAAATACATAATGGTTACTTGATACTATTGACCTTATTCACATTAAGTCATATAATTGAAATAGAAATTTATTTCACTAGACATAGGCTTGTTCATTGACACTTCATTCAACCAATATTACATATGCTTGTCAAAAAAGGTTATTTTTTCAACATTCAGCGATTTAGTGTTTGACAGTTTAACAGGAGTAATTATTATCTCTTTGTGACGGAAAATCTACATACAGTTTTTCATTGTTCGCCCAGTATGTTTAACAAAGGGAACTGTTGGATTTGGAAATATAATTACAGTCTTTCTAATTAATTAACGTTTACAATGTTATTTACTAATGAAAATAAAAAATTCAGATCATTCATTTGAAAGGCTGTGCACTTCAAAAAACATTGGCTGTTAACATTAACTACCAAAAAATATTATGCCCACCTCACAAATACAATTACCGTATTATATGATGACTGAGTACAACACTATCATGTATTTTAGGTGATCATTAATAAGTGATCAACTACAAATAATGTACAGTTCAGCATATTTTATGCTTTCAATGGATTTACAAAAAATCTTGATAACCTTGATATTGCGTTCATTTTCGAAACCTTTACATAGCTAAACTAATCAACTTTTTGGTATTAAGAATAACGGTTTGCAAAATAACTGAATTATAAAGATTATTTGCTTTTTTCTCAGACATTATTACTAATTTCAGACGGCGTAAAAGTTGCTTCATTTACCCATCTTTTACGGTTAGCGTGACTTCAGCATGACCCATTCACTTTCTCTTCATCATGATTTATTCAGATATTTACATGAATATAACGTTTATTAAATGAGCGAACTATGTGTTAAATTAACTTATGGGAATACTTAAACCAAAATGTGTTCACTAATTGTGTATTAAACATTTGAGACTACCTTTGAAATTCAATAATCACTATTATCAATTATTAATAACAACTGTCAGTTTTTTCAAAAATTAACTTTCAATGATCTACGCATTATTACTACTCTTGTCACAATAACTGATAACTTTAGTTGCATTTCTACTTCATAAAAAGAAATTACATTCACTAACAGGAGTATAGCAGGGTAATGAAAAGGATTTGTTTTTGTTTTTTTCGAAGTTGAAATTTTTTACAAAACTCAGATGGAACAATGCGATAATAGTTCATTATTGTAAATAATAATCGAATGTAAAAATGTCAATTCTTACATCCAATAAAAGCACTTTATTCTGGTTCGATTTGAACGAATCAGATTACAAAGCTGCACCATTTACAACCAATTAAAAAATTATTACAGGTGACAAAATGTTTGTTCATTTTCACTTGAGCACACACTTTCAAAGACAAATTCACCAATCACCAATTGCTTTTTTTTCACATCCTTCATTTTCGAAAAAAAGGGTGGTAGGGGATAATACGAGCCGTGATTCTAATGTCAACCACCTAATTATTCTTGGATTGTTCCGTTGTACTATTTATACCTGGATTATTGTTAATTTGATTATTTATTCTCTGGAGAAGTGGCTTACACTGAGTCACGAAACGTCAGAAAACCTAATTTTTCTACTCATTGGGATATTACAAATATATTATTTATTTATAACAATCTACCCAATGCTCAATTTATTCAAAATTATCAAATCAAGTCTTGGTAATGATACCTACCAAGATAATATGGTTACATAGAAGCAATCCGTACGGGATTCACATGTGCCAACAAATCCGACAAAATTTGATCCTCAAAATTAATAATGGAATAATTTATATATATATAAACCGTTTTAGCCTTCACATAATAAATAGATTGGTTTTATTAGCCACGCCATTATCAGCACTGACAATAAACCTGATACAAGGATTTTTCCAATACTTTTAGTGTTTCAGAATAAAGAATGGGTGTAGATTCGAGCTTCGGGTAATCTTGCAACAGTGTTTTATACTTTGAAGGTTGATGTGTAGGCACAGTTTGAAAATGTCATCTGTGAACTCGAGGTCTTTCTCCAGGTAACAGACCCAAACCACCATCATTATCACGTGCTTCCTTTAGAGCCAAGAATAATATTGACAGAAAAGTTGAACAGGAATCGCGGGATTACGTAACCCCCTTTAACCATACCATTAAACAGGAACAATGGAGGGAGGAAGTTATACGTTCTTACTCCACCCGAGGTGTTTGCTGTGTACGGAGCCTTCAAGATGTTAATAAACCTGTTGAATACAGCCTTCCTCGACAGAAAATTTTAAAGCGCAGTACTACTCAATTAACTGAGAGCGGCCGTGATATCAAGGGAGGTAAAATCCGACTCACACGTCCTCGTCGTGCCTCCTGGATCATGGGACTGTTTCCATGAACTAACGTGAGCGGTAACCCGGGTGGTGGAGATCGGACTAATCACCCACTCTACCTATACCCACAAAATGATTATCGAGTGCTACAAGGAATCATTATATAGCTATTGAGAGTGCAAAGAGAGAGAGAAACAAAAGAGAGAGAGGATAAATACTAAAAAAAAAGAGTGCGAAAATAGAGAGAGGAAAAAAAGTCTGCCCAAACAAAAACAAAAAGAAAATGACAAAAAAAAATGGGTACGTGTGAGTGTTATGTAATGGTTCCGCGTGGCTTACAAAAACAGCTATCTCACCCCGGTAGTTGTGCCGTGCAGTAGCACTTCCCAGAAGGGCCAATAGGCTTCACCATTCCAATATGGCTGGAAGGAGAGGGCCGTGATGTCAAGGAATACAACAAGTGTTGGCCGACAGAGGGATTCCAGCATCTGATAGAAATTGAGGACGCGATCGATACATCCATGACCGGAAAAAGAATCAATCTGATCAGAATGAACTTTTCACGGGTTTTGTGTAACCTGTGGAGTATGATGGAAACCCATAGTTTGGAAGCAGTCGAAAGTAAATATACGGCTTGATAGTTTTCGTATATATTACGTAAGGCACTTTTAAAGATGAGAATAACAGTCGCTCCAATTCAAGATGGAACGCTCTTTGTTTTCCAAATTCTCCCAAACAAACCAATTGGTCTATTTGCCACTACCATAAAAAAGAACTGAAGTAGGTATTCTAGATCAGGTGACTTGTGAAGCCCTAAAAGCTGCAGTTTCTTACAGAAGTCGAGATCATTAGATAGATCAGTAGTTACAAGCCCAGAACAGTGTGAACGTTTCTGGGGCAACAAGTTGGTTAGATTGTCCCCTGAAGTGCTTTGCCAAGCGTTAAAGACGTGTTTGAGGGTTACTACTTGACGTGCTAACATCAAATCGTCCCACAGACACTAAATGTTTTGCTGCCAGTAGCTCGAGTGAGTTAAAAAAGCCTCAGGCAGTCGCCAGATGTAGCTTCTGGTTCCAATTGATTAGTATGCCCAGACCATTGGAGTTCCTAGTTCTTTCTCCAGATTCGTAAAATTTCCTGACCTGTGTATCTCAAGAAATCTACAGAAACCTAGTTTCTTCCCACTTTGATGAGGCCTTCTAATTTAATAGCAAATCACAACTTTTATTTGGGATCCAGTCAATAAGTGATACCTCTATACGAGCTCAATTGAACAAGTGTTTGCGAAGCCGGATGCTGATGTTATAGGGTTCTCGGATAAGTGGACATGGAATAAATTTCTTGAATCGATAGTTGGAGTGAATTTATGGTAATCTGCTAAGATCTTGGTTACGGGTCTCAGATATACAGCACACATAGGTGATAAAGACTATCTAAAGCCAAATAAACCTATCTATTGGTGGATATCTTGACAAGATTATTTCGCAACAGTTAAAAAACAACTGTGCATGAACCTTGATGCAAATATGGTCCAAAGTAACGTTTTGAAGTTGGAGGAAGATAGATGTATTTGAAATGTGCTTGGATTGATGCCCATGGAAATCACAAGACTGCATGTTCCAAGTCAACAAGTGAATCTGCTGGTTAGAGAACGATCTTTGAAAGTCAAACAACAAAGGCATTATTTACAAAAGTATGTCTGTAACACAATTAAACGAAAATAAAAAGGGTGAAAACCCCACAAATGATGGTTTACCAAGAGTATAAAATTATAATCAACTACTTACCTCATGTGCAACTCGATCGATTTCATCAGTCGTTACACCAACTTTAACTGCATTAACTGCTTCTTCTAAGACTTCACGGGCAAGCTTGAAAATAGAAAAAATAGGATGTCAACTAAGAAAACCGTTAATTTGTACAGAATGAGTGGAAAAGAATATTCAGAACTAATTTTAAACTGTGGATAAATTTTTCTGAAACGCAAATGTAGACCACACTTTATTATTACTGACAACGCAAAAGTACGGCAACGAAATATTGTGGTCACCTGATAACTACCTAAAAACTGCTAACTGAACACCGACAGGTAAGATACACAATTCTCAACGTGTTGTTTACTGTTTCGTCAGATGGAAAATTGAAATGTGACAATCAAATATGACCTTACTGGATAGTACAATATTAAATACTAAGTAACAACTGTTGACTGTAATTTATATTCAATGACTACGTATATTTCCTATTCCGTATCTAAATTTAGGTGAATGAAAGAATTACGTGGTGGCTACATTCACAACATATAAAACCATTATGACGCCATTTATTTCAACAAAGACTGAGTTTGATCTGTAAAACCAAATAAAACATCTAGCTAACCATATTTAATTTTTGGATACGTCATATGGATATTTAGAAACAAGATCATGAATTATTACGAAGTGTAGTCTGTTAAACATACAATCAGTTTTGCATTTTAAGTATACACCAATTTGCGAGTTTTCATAAAAATTAAATTAGATGGTACGAATAGAGTAGACTAATGACAACAATGTAAAATATGGCATAAATAATTCACATTTGCATACTAACAAGTAAAATGCGTGGTAATTAGTTTATTCCCAGTACACTTGTAGCAAGAATTTTCAGAACACATTGAAGGTAAAAAAGAATAACTGCGGGATAATACTGTGTTGATGAATATGATAAATCTGTGCGGTCCACTGATTAGAGGGTTTGAACTTCATTTACTATGCCAGAGGTTTGAACTCCGGTTCATTGGCTTCGGTTTAGACAGTCAAGGTGTATTACTGACTCACGCAGTGTGTCTTAAGATCGACTACATGAATCTGCACTTGATGAATAGGTTGGCTTTTTATGAATAACTGAGAAAAGTGACTAGTAATATCATAAAAATACAAAACCAAGCGAGACTACGCTCTCGAAACAGAGATTTAACAATTGACAAATTCTTAGTAAAATTACAGCTAAACCTTTTGTAATATCATAAAGTAGATTGAGACTCATAATATGTATTAAGCAACTCAGCACTAAAAATTTACTGGGATGTGTTTCTATTACCTTTCCTGTAACACGCATGCATTCAATTTCATCGTCGTCCAAAACAACAATACTACGGGAACCCTTCGCTTGACGCTCTGAGACAGGAATCCCTACATGATTGCCATGAAAGTAAACAAATAGTCCTCAAATACCTGTGATGGCGTAGTCTGGATATTCAATTGAACTCTTCACTTCTCGTTTAGGTGTCTGGAAGCACTGTGTGTAGAAGTAAAGCAGATTACTTTTTTAGCAGGTCTTAATTGACCTGTAAATTTATATCCTCTGAAGCGTTCATCTTCACACGTATCTTCTGTAATGAGGTAAGCTTTGAATTATTGTTTACTGACTGGCACCGACGACGTGTACTGTTTTATGTGTTTTCCAAAAATGTTTGAAACATTCCTTAAAATTAACACAAGAAAATATTGTTATTTCTTGACAAATACTTGTGAGCAGAAGAACGACGTTTCAATTCCCAAACCAAGACACACAGGGCACTTTAGAGTGGACGGTTTGCCACATGATGGAGTTATACAAATGTTTTCCATTTTATTCAAACGTTCATACTATGCAATAGTTAAATGTGATACTGAAAATACAAAATACATGGTACTTATTAGCTATTAATTTATAAACAAAAGCACTGTGCGTATACGTTACACTATAGGTGAAATGATATTCTGTACTTGGGTGAACAATACAGGTTTGTTGATTGTATGTAAAGTCTTTCGCCAACTTCATAACAAGAGTAATCATGTTAGTGTTATCTACCAAATAGCTGCTAAAAAATATTTGCAACTCTCTCAATTATCAAACTAGTTTTGCCAAATAAATAATAATACTATTACGCTAATGAATAGATAGGATCTTAGATAAAACTGAATGACACTGTCTAAGCAACTACATAGAAAATGTTATTCATACATATGAGTTTATTTAGTGTACCTGTAGATTACAGTCTTTCAGACTTGGAATACAGATACAAAGTACTTAAAAGACATTTCTCACCAATGAAACGATACGGAGTCTACTACGGTTTAGTATATTCGCTTTTTAATAAGTAGAGGGGTATTTCACTAGTTTCAGGTAGTGGTTTAACAAGACTATGTTGTCTAAATTCCTTAGGTAGTTCTAATAATTATTGAGATAAATTCTTGAACAAAGAAAACGGTATACCTATGATAAAACTGGCATAAATGTAGAGGGAAGAGATCCTTGGTAAATATAAATTGTTGGTGAGATTTTAGATAGTAACTTGTCAAGTTGTTCCAAGCGAGTGTCAGATGGTTGTGAAAACTGGATACCAAGAACTTTCAACTAGGCGGATTCACATTTTGCCTACCAAGGCCTGTGCAAACATGAGATATTAACTAGTCCTTGTGATAACACTTATTGACCAGTTCTGTTTTACCTTTGGTTTTAACCTCGCGTTTATCGTACATACGTGCCTTTTGCAGTTTCTGGCATGGGTTAGTAATCATTATTGTTTTTAAGTATTAATACTCTAAGAAAAAAGCAAATCACAAAGACCTTTTTTAAATTGTTTGGATAAAACGATAAGAGCTCAAAGACTAGTACGGCGACGTCTGCAGTCAGTCAGCTACAACGTAGGACCAGGCACATATATGCATCGGTCCAAGTTGCCATACCTCGTTAGCACAACAAGATGAACACTGGATTCATAGAAGTAATTAATTTAGTGGTGGCGACGTCTGCACAGATCCCACACTTGAAACTTAAAGTCTACCAAAAAGAAAGTTATTTTATTTTATTTAAACACATAAATATTGGTACAAGGAAGCACCCGATACAAATGCGCCGCACAAATCTCATTCGATTTGTGTGAGGGCTGGGATACTACACAGGTGCCTAAACCGAAGCAGGTGGTTTTCTTGAGGGGCCACAGCCGGAGCCTTTGATCTAAAGGTCTGATCCACAGGGCAGTGGAGCATCGTAAGGAGATGCAGTCCCATGGTAGCCGTTGACCAACGATTGGTTCATACACCATTTGTTCCCTCAGGATACTGGAGTCCATGTGCACCATTGGTTTGGAATCAGGGTTTTCCAACTCCCCCAAATGCCCTGGTACGGCCGAGAGTGGGGAGAGTCCGCCGTCCCTCTCCAAATGCTCTCACATGGCCAGCGAATATATAGCCTCTGCCAGGGAAGTCCTACTCACTGCCTTCTCGTACAATGGGTGTTGTTTACGAAAGTGAGAGGACGAAAAGCGAATGTCCGGCGCTTTAACCGGGTTGGTGGACATGGAAAGTTCACCTAGGGGAGTTGGAAAACCGATTCCAAACCAATGGTGCACATGGGCTCCAGTATACTGAAGGAACAAATGGCGTACGAATCAACCGTTGATCACCGGCTACCATGGGACTGCATCTCCTCACGATGCCCCACTGCCTTGTGGATCAGACATTCAGGTCAAAGGCTCGGGGTGTGGCCCCCTAATAAAACCACCTGCTTCAGTCTGGGCACCTGGGCAGTATCTCAGCCCTCACACAAATCGAATGAGATTTGTGAGGCGCATATTTATCTGGTGCTTCCTTGTACCAATATTTATGTGTTTAAATAAATAAAAATAAATTTCCAACTCCCCTAGGTGGACTTTTCGTGTCCACCGACCCGGTTAAAGCGCCAGACATTCGCTTTTCGACCTCTCCATTTTGTAAGCAACACCCCCGCCACGAGAAGGCAGTGAGTAGGAATTCCCTGGCAGAGGCTATATTCGCGCGGCCATGTGAGAGCATTTGGAGAGGGACGGCGGACTCTCCCCACTCTCGGCCGTACCAGGGCATTTGGGTGCCAAAAGATGAGTAGAGATAGTCCTTTTCCAAGAAAATTTTAGAAGGCGTCAGGGTACGAGTAGACAACTGATTATGGACTTACATGATAAACTAAAGAATGTTATAACTTAATGAGACAGAACCGAGTCTATTTGGAAGGGTATTATAATTTTTACAGTAAGAGTGAGAATGTGAAACCAGAAACTCATTTTTAAATACGATTTAAGCATGTTATGAACTTAAAAAGAGTGATGTTGACATTTGCAAATTTGGTAGATAGGATACACTCTATGTAGTAATATCAAAGTGACTTAGAATGACGGTCGCGTCTATATAACGTGCTTACAAACAATTAAGGTCTACGGTTTATGTCAACAAATATCTGATACTTTCTAATCCCTCACCTTACGGCGGATTATGGGGTTTTCAGCAAGGTCACGAAAACATTTTTCTTCAAACTAGTTAAGATCTCTTAAGTTACGTTGAAGTCTATAAAACTTTTGCAGGAACAAAGTAAAAATATGAGAAACCCTTTGAGTTCTAGAGACTAAAGGAAAGAACGGGATTTGTAGCCGCATTTTCCATAGAATGTCCCTAAAATGTCAGATGGAACTTCCCCCAAGTTGGAAAAAGTTGCCCTGAAGTTGAGATTGAATTCCTACGTGTCATATATTACATAGTCAATAAGATGTAAGCCTGAAGGCTCTTCGGTTGTTTTGGAATTCTAAAGCAACCTAAGAGGAAACAAAGGATAATGAGGGTGAAGTAAATAAAAAAGTTCAAAAAGTCTCCTTCGCCTGCCATGGAGAAATTGGGCAAACTCTTCCCATTTCGTTTTATGTATGAAAGTGGCCGAATTATCCACTTCTCGTCTAAATACACCCGGATTATTTACTTTTCGCCTAAATATACGTCGGATAGTCTACTTTTCATTTAAACATACGGAAAACCAATATTTCTCACCCAAGAACACGGCACAGTAAATAAGTCAGAGAGTTTTCGAAGATGCCCGCCGTTTCTTTTTAGTGACCTTGAACGGCCTAGCAAGAGGCGGTCATTCCGTATTTGAGCTGTTAGTTGTCCTTTGGGTTGTACGAATATCAAGTTTTCTCGTATTTGAGTCGTATTTCGCTGCAGTAAATTCGCGAAATCAATGAAAAAGCGTTTATTTAGCTTACTCTTTTTTGTAGTGTACAATTTGGTTCTTGTTGCTTCGTAACTTGACCTGCGATACCAATTACCCCACTGAACCACACTGTCCTTGTTTAAAATTTTTTTGGGGTTGTTGTTGTTGTGTTCTTCAGAAGTACTGAGTATCATTGTCAATTGTCATGATACGATGAATCAGTGTAGATAGTTATGCGACTTCCACGTAAAACCTTACAGATTAGGCAACCACACGATAAATTTACCGTTTTCAGACTAGGTCTATTGTCAAAGTAGTATTAGTACCGAACTATACTATACTATAATTATAATGCAAAAACTGTACATTTGTTATATTTATATTTAGATAATTCACTAGATGAATAAAAGTGGCAGTAGTCAATATGAAACACGGTCGTCGTCAATTTGTAAATTGTTTCTCCACACAATCTTCCATATTCAGAAGTTCGCCAAGTTGTTCAAATGCATAGACTTGATTAATAGAAAGGTTTGAGCCTTTTAATTTGTTGACAGAAGTCATCAGTTGTATAACAGAAAACGTATGTATTAGCTTACTCAATGCAATTCTGAAAAACAAAAAATCAATCATGAAACAAACCATTGAACTTCATTATCAGTACCAAATTCAGTAAGCAAATGAAATAGCAGCTGACAGATATACTTATAAGCCTTATTTGTTGTAAAGAGTGCTCTTGATTTTCTAACCTTTCTAGAATTTCATCGAGTTATTTGGTAATAACAAACAAACTTCAGGTACCAAAGGAACAGACTCAAAAACTTTAATTAGTGATATGAAATTTGAGAAAAATCCAATTACAACGTTCATAATACTGTTAGCAATTCATTGTTCACATACAATAATGAAATAACTAGTAAGCACTATTTAGAGATTACTCGTCAACATGCATTAAAATTTTGTTTATGATTTGGTCAGTGATTTCGGATTCTGTTAACAGAAATTTATTTTTTAACCCTTACATGAGATCGTAAACTAATATTATCTACGATATGTTTTAGTTAATATGCTCACAACAAACACGCATCGCTTTACTTAAGAAGAGTATTTGGCTAACTTATGTGGCACTCACAGTAATGTTATACATAATTCCTGTATAAATTCAGAAAGCAGGTAGAAAAATCTATCAACGTCAATTGTTACTCATAATTTTTATTTCTCAGATACCTTACGTATTAATATACCAGTCCAGTCGAAAATGATATTTATAATAAATAGAACTGTATATTCGCAAGTTATATAATATTCATAAACAGTTTAACGCTCAATCGCTTCAACCTACATTTTATTAATAACTACCAACACCCATGTTCATCGCTATTATAATTAGGGTTGTGAGTAATATGTAAGTGATTTTAGAGCCCACTTTTGCTTGAAACTGATTTCGGTCTAGTTTTGACTTGATGAATAGTGAATTTCACTTGACTGAGTTTGCATTGCTACAAATAACCAAATTAGGATTGCTAGACATTCATCCAGGTTGTCAGCAACAAATACATCGGGCAACCAATTGACTACAATAAACGTTATGTAACAAGCATAAACATTACAAAAATTAACATGTGACGGAAAA